TCATTTAAAATTACATCTTCAAGTTTTGTCTCCGTGAGTGCAACAATGTCTGGTGTCTGCAGCTGTATTACATCACTTAACTCCAGTATCTTCGATCTTACTCCATCTATGTTGGTGTATGCAATCTTCAGGAACTTGTTCCCCTTCTCCTTATTCTTCACTCCCCCTCTCTCTATTGATTTTGTTGGTTTGCCTTTATGTACCACTTTACTGGTTTGCCTACCCCTATCACTTTGTAGAAAAAAGAATTTATTTCTTCTTCATTCCTGCTCTCATTTAAATGTTTTGCCTCGGCGAGGTTCAGTTTCAGCTTCTCTCTATCTTCTTTTGAAAGATCTCGTCTTAACGACCACCCTTTCCCATCCTCATCCCTTTGCAATTTTCTAGCATTCCTTAGTACTTCTTCCATCTGTTTGGCACCGTTTAGGGTGATCCTCAAAGGTCGATCTTTCCCTTTTACGTACCTGCCTATTCTCCTGTAGTCGCACACATTCTCTCTGTTTGTAAGACCTTCCACGAGGCCAACAATTTTATCTACTACTTTAGCTTCTTCTACAGCTCTTTCTGACCTAGATGTTATCGCCTTTTCTTTGCAGCCAAAAATGATCAGGGACTTACTCCGATCAACTGTGTTTTGCACCAACTTCGGGTTAGATGCCAATTCTTTCCTCACTTCTAGCCTAATGTTTGTTTTATCTTGGTTGCTGCAGTGTTTGACTTCCTTTACTGCTTCTTCTATTTTTTCCTTCTCCTTGGCCACTTGTGCATAAGTGAGTTGCATATCTTTCTTGCACTGTTCTATTCCCTGTGTAACTTCCTCCATCTGTGCTGACAAAAGGTGTTTCTCCTGTTGAATTTCCTTGCCTAACCTATTGTAGTCATTTATGTTTAAATTTACTTTAACTTCTTCCAAAGCTATTTTTAAGAGTTTATTTTCTTCTTCCATGGCTTTGCAATTTGTTTCCAATTGATTCTTATCCTTGCGCAAGTCTTTCACTAAACCCTCAAGACATAAAACTTTGCTATTCAAATGGTCATTACTTTCTTTCAATTTACTAATTATTTCTACATGAGAGTTCACTATAGTATCTAAATTTACCAACTTGTTATGTAGACTACTAATATCAATGCTTTCTTCATTGAATCCCTCAAAATCAAGCTCTGTTTTGTTTTTCCCCTTGCCAGTGGCCATCTTGAATGTTCTTCTCTGCACTGTAAACACTAGGGCAACTTTTTCTCATCCGATTTTTCACTTCCCTTAGCACTTTCCTGTTATCTCACCTATTTTTCAAGAGCACTATACCTTTATGTTCTCTGGGACACCACTCACTACCATCAACCTGTACTACAATACTTAGGATTGTTGAAATATGCTGGAGCTCCTCTGCTGCAAGTGTTGACCCTGTGTGTGTGCAAGTGTGTGTGTGTGTGTGTGTGTGTGTGTGTATGTGTGTATTCACCTAGTTGTATTCACCTAGTTGTGTTTGCGGGAGTTGAGCTTTGCTCTTTCGGCCAGCTTCTCAACTGTCAATCAACTGTTTTACTAACTACTTTTTTTTTCCAAACCACACACACACACACCCAGGAAGCAGCTCGTGACAGCTGACTAACTCCAAGGTACCTATTTAATGCTAGGTAACAGGGGCATTCAGGGTGAAAGAAACTTTGCCCATTTGTTTCTGCCTGGTGCGGGAATCGAACCCGCGCCACAGAATTACGAGTCCTGCACGTTATCCACCAGGCTACCAGGCCCTCAGGCTCGGTACTGTGTATGTGTGTATAGACAGTCATTGTGTGTCTAAGCCAGTTAACCGACTGGTTCTTCAATTATCTACCTTGTTCTGGCATGGTTGTTGTTTTAGCAGAAGTGGTCATTTTTCTTGTGAGTCTTCTGCTACATTTGATGTCACCCAAGTTTTGATTGTGTTGTTTATGCTGTAACTATTTTAGAACCTTTTAATTTAGGTCTTGACTGTTCATGCTCATCCATTTAAAAAAAACCACAAGGTCAGCATGTTACATGTTTTTATATGACAGTTAAGGATATGCTGAGAACACAAGTCTTGGTAACAAGGCCACTTAGTGCAGAACTGCAGTCCTGGGACCTGTTATTGGCATTGGCCAATTAGTTGCTCTCATGAATTGGTTAGCCACAAAGATGCACTATGAGGACTGGCATACATTCACAATGTGCAGTTTTTTCTGACCCCTGCTGTCTCCAGCATTATTCCTCTTTGGTTCAGGGTTAAGTCACATCTTCAGATGTGTGCAGTTTGTCTGCTTACGATACAACTAGTGGCGTGTGCTTTAAAGTTCGCCACCACTGGAGATGACAGTTCTTGGTTGATGCAGCAGGTTCTTCACAGGTTCTCATACTTTTTATGATGATTTGACACTTTTGGTCAAGTCAACTTGCAAGTCATAGTTCCAGATTTGTAAGGATGTTGTTCTTTCTCCTGTTTTCTGTAGTGACTGGGAAGTATCCAGCTAGGGTTGTTTCTAATACAGGTACACATCAGAAGGGGGTTTAGAGCATGAGTTTTATTCCTAGTTGATGATGCATTTGCTTGATTCAAGCCTATGTTCAAGTAGGGGAAATATCCCTTTCTTCCTCAAGGCAACTTGGTAGCTTTTATGGAATAGCCTGTCTTTTGGTACTCATCTAATGATATTTATAACTATCTACGGGCTCACCATAGCCCGTGTTACTTGGAACTTTTTGTTCCAGGTAGCGAATCTTTAACAACAACAATCTAATGATAGATTTTGATCCTTGGCAGGACTCGGTGGCTTGTCCTTCAGGAGTTGAATACGATTTTGAGCACGTTTTATGAAAAGCTCTTTCCTGCACTTGATATATGGTTGATGACAAGTGGAATATGAGGTGGTGGCAGTGAGCAGTAGTGGCAGGGTAGGCCAACTACCAGTTAGTGAGAGAGCATTTATCGGTCCTTGTAATGCCAAGTACCACTTGCAACACCTGTTTAGTGTACAGGATATGAATGAGCCTTCTACAGTTCACTCTAATCAGTGTATAGTGTTCTTCACTAACTCACTGCATTTACAGTACCTGTAGTTTATCTGTAGTCATTTCCAGTAATAGTTGTACTCAAGCCAGAGCTGGGGCAAGGCTTGTCTTGTGATAAGTAATCTGAAGGGTTCTTGCTTAGAGAAGCCCATAGGCACCAATATGACCTTAAAGAGAGATCTAATGTGCTCACTTTTGTTGCAACGTGGAATGTCAACCTTCCCAGACTGTGCATGATCCAGGCCACTAGAACAGCAGAATCTCATAAAAAGGAGCAACCAAGTATTCTGTTCAGATAAGATTTTCATATACAGTACTGTGTATTATTCAAATCTTAATTTTGATATACTGTAATAAATAAAACAAATGCTGATAAAATTGAACTTGTATGTAGTACTGTATATTCATAGAGGCACTCTGAAGCCAATATCATGTAAACCCATGGTGGAGGTGCAGGCTTTCCACTGTAATATGAATGGGAGGTGCTATCTTTACTGTAATGCAACTAATATTCCAGTCAAACTAGTAGATAAATCAGAATACTGTATATTTGTTATAAAAGTAACCTTCGGAGATGTAGTGTAGCAAAATAACCACTTTATGACCCTGTATATTAAGTTATGTCCTGTATTTGTGCAGACCTTCCTCAAACACTGACACACCAATGTCACACTGCAAGTAGCCAAAAATCTGCCTTTTCAATCATAAAAAATGGGCTGGATATTAAAGCTGAACCAAAACTTATTTTCTGTATAAATTCTAAATGACCTCCTAAATAAATTCAGCATTCATAGTTAATTAGCTCCAGATGTGTTATACTATTGTATTCTCATCAACATTTGAAGAAAGTTGCTTTCAATACTGAATAAGAACTGCAACATCTTTATAACATTATTCATAAAATTATGTGATAAAACACCAGTGAATTTGCCCTTCCATGCAGCACACCCATTCACTGCAATCATAATTGCAAATTTGAAAGGGGGTAAATTAATGTGTTCTTTACATGAGCTATTTTTTTGTAATATTCCTTAATATCTTCACACCATCACACAAGAGCTTCAATGCAAATTTGTATACTGCAATAAATAATGAAGGTGGTCAGCCATTTTGAAGACCCTTAATGGTTATGTAGTTAACAAAATTACTGTACATAATTCCAAAACATTTCAAACACATTTTGTACATGCAGGTGCTTTGTGTGATGATAAATGGCAGTGATGCATGATGCAAGTAAACTGGGTACACCCCAGCCAGGGACATCACTTGTCCCGGTCGTATCCCCTCTCTCACTAAGTATCAGTTCATTGGATGTTCATTGGATACTTATCATTGGATAAGTATCCAATGCAGGTCAAAGCAGAAACTGCATTCCAAGGATAAAATGTGGCTCAAACTTTAATCAAGACAATGTCATGTAAGACAAGAACCAACTTTTGCCCTAGACTTCGCTTGAGTACAGGAAGGCACCAGCTTGGACACGATCAAGTACCATCATCACACTATCTAAACTCAGCCACTATACAGTCTCTTACCACATCTAATTTAATCATTCACAATTCCATACAAGTACTTCCTGTGTAGAAAAGAAAAAGGCTCCTAATTGTTCAATCTATGCCATTGTATTAAATATACATACAGTACAAACAAAACAATTTGTACATGAATTACAATGAACTGACATCTACTGGTATATCACAGACTGAACAACAGATATCTTATAGTCCAGTATTCACAAAAGTTGGTTCACTGTCTACAGCCACTGTTGTACATACATTAATATAACATTACAGGTATATACAAGAGGGAACTATGAATTACATGAAAGCTGAGCATGGGAAACTACGTGACAACTGGATCTCTAGATGAACAGCAGAGATGAACAGTCACTTGGTAGCAGCAGGATTCACAAGCTGAACAGAAGGACGCGGGCAGGGAATTTCATCCATGCTTAAGTCGTGCAGATACGTACCTGGGCAGGCCTCGGGTTGAGAGGTCAGTGGAGTGAGAGCGGAAGTGGTGCGAGTGGGCAGGCTGAGCAAAGCGGCCACGAGGGGCCCACGGCTCGGGGTTGAACCTAGAACACGACACCACCACATGCAACATGACAGACACACACCCTTTTGGCACGCACCCATGTACACACACCCAGAGAGAAAGACAACTATGATAGTGGTGGCCACTTTTACTAAGAAATGAAGTAAAGAGGTTTTGCGGATCCATGCAAGTACTTCCTATCATTAGAAAAAATTGTCAAACCAAAAGCAAGTTTACAAGAGTAATGTGTGTTAGAGTAAACTTGTTGCATCAATAATTTAGTTTACATCAAATGCAATGTCCAGGGAAAGAACTATACAATTACTGTACTGCACATATTGATATATAAATATATAATATATTGCATGCTTATTAGGGGAAACTATAGTTTACAAGTGGGATCTACTCCTGAGTCTACCTTTCATGTCAACCCACAGGTATGGTCATCGCTGGCTAGCACGGTACACAGTGGCAGGTGGTGGGGGAGAGGGGTCACACCATAGTAGCAAGTGGTGGGGGGAGAGGGGTCACACCACAGTGGCAGGTGGAGGGGGAAGAGGGGGACACACCATTGTGGCAGGTGGTGGGGGGAGAGGGGACACACCACAGTGGCAGGTGGTGGGGGGAGAGGGGACACACCAGTGGCAGGTGGTGGGGGGAGAGGGGACACACCATAATGGCAGGTGGGGGTGGGGGGGGGAACACCACAGTGGCAGGTGGTGGGGGGAGAGGGGACACACCACAGTGGCAGGTGGTGGGGGGAGAGGGGACACACCACAGTGGCAGGTGGTGGGGGGAGAGGGGACACACCACAGTGGCAGGTGGTGGGGGGAGAGGGGACACACCACAGTGGCAGGTGGTGGGGGGAGAGGGGACACACCACAGTGGCAGGTGGTGGGGGGAGAGGGGACACACCACAGTGGCAGGTGGTGGGGGGAGAGGGGACACACCACAGTGGCAGGTGGTGGGGGGAGAGGGGACACACCACAGTGGCAGGTGGTGGGGGGAGAGGGGACACACCACAGTGGCAGGTGGTGGGGGGAGAGGGGACACACCACAGTGGCAGGTGGTGGGGGGGAGAGGGGACACACCATAGTGGAGGGTGGTGGGGGGGGGGAAACACCACAGTGGCAGGTGGTGGGGGAGAGGGGACAAACCATAGTGGCAGGTGGTGGGGGGGGGAGAGGGGACACACCATTGTGGCAGGTGGTGGGGAGAGGGGACACACCATTGTGGCAGGTGGTGGGGGGGGGAGAAGGGACACACCACAGTGGCAGGTGGTGGGGGGGAGAGAAGGGACACACCACAGTGGCAGGTGGTGAAGGGGTGGGGAGAAGGGACACACCATAGTGGCAGGTGGTGGGGAGAGGGGACACACCACAGTGGCAGGTGGTGGGGAGAGGGGACACACCAGTGTGGCAGGTAGTATGGGGGAGGACCACACATCACATTGGCAGGTGGTCTGGGGGGTGGGGGGAGGGGTCACACCATAGTGGCAGGTGGAGGGGGGGGAGAGGGGGGCAGGACACCACAGTGGCAGGTGAAGGGGAAAAGAGAAGGACACACCACAGCTGCAGGTGGGGGTGAAGAGGAAAGGACGAAAGAGGAAGGAGGGAAGGAGTAGGATGGTGGATGGGAAGGGAAGGGTAGAGCATGGAGAGGTAAAAGGTACAGTATAGAGGAGAAAGAATCAACCCCTAAATACAGTAATGTTGAAGAGGAAGGGAAAGACTGGCACAAAAGGACTAGACATATAATCCTGAGAGGAAGGAACACTTTATCTGCCTCTTATGCCTTGACCTCGACACTGACTTTGCGAGTCACACTTGACACACATCAGAGTTATCACAACACGCAATTTCCCCGCCACAAAGTAATGGTGGTTTCAAGGAATGAAGAGGGGTAAAAGATATGTACTGTATTTGTGTCTGTACCCATTAGAGACCATCTTTTAGTCATTAATTCCTTATTGCAATGTTTCACAACCAGGTGAAGCTTCGCGAAGCTATGGTAAGCTTCTTACCATACCTATTCTTGAAACTAGGCACTATTTGGTGTTAGCCTCAAATACAATGGGGCCTCGACTTACAATGCTAATACGTTCCCAGAGACGGATCGTAACTCGAAATATCGTAAGACGAAGCAATTTTTCCCATAAGAAATAAAAGGGAATTGAATTAATCCGTTCCCCACCCTCCAAAATATTAACATACAAATACATTTTATACTGAATACAATGTTTTTTCTAACTACAATACAGTACCTAAGTTTATCTTACCTTTATGGAGGGCTCTTGATGGCGTATGGAAGATGGTGATGAGGGGGGAAGGAGGAGAGTTGTTACTGTTTGGAAGGGGAGTCCCCTTCCATTATCACATCAGGCAGTGATGTTTTCTCTGGGGTACTCTCTCTCCTATGTTTTGCCTGAATACCACTAGGACCTGCTTGTGGTTCAGTGCTTGTTTGTCTCACTACAAATTTGTCAAGAGACATTTGTTTTTCCCTTTGTTTTAACATTTGTCTGTAATGATGCATCACAGTGTCATTGAATAGGTTCAGGCAACGGCCTACTGAAGCTTGATTTGGGCGAGTCATTTCAGCAAAGGTTTGCAATTCTTCCCTTGCTGCACACATTTTCTTAATTGTTGATGAAGAGACATTCTGTACTCTTGTTTCTGCTCTATGGTCATCCTTACATGGGTTTTCATATGTTGAGCCTTACCACTGACTTTCCTGGGACTCATGGCATGATATATAATAATTACTTTAATGTTCAAAATGCAAAAAAGTCACCACAAACGGGGAATTTCTTATAGGCGCGATCGTCACTAAGCGGGCAGCTGTAGTAAACTGAGGCAGGTCGGACCGTGTGACTGGGAACAACGCGCTCGGTCGACCCGAACGTGTACCAACAAACATAGGAAGTCGACGACACCATCGGATGTCGAGTCGCATTTTTCTATGAAATTTACATCATAACTCCAAATTATCGTATGTCGGGGCAATCATAAGTCGAGGTGCCACTGTACCTCACCTTTTAGCTCCTTCACCTTACTCACAGCACCTAACATTGAAGAATTACTTTCAATCAAGTTTCTATTTTTCACCCATGCCCTCTCACCAGGTCCATGTTGATATTTTGGGGGGGGGGGGAATGCATCGCTTGCATGAATTGAGGGCCACCTGAACAGCATACCAGTGATGACCAAGCCACACACCAGATGATGAAGGGACGACGACGTTTCGGTCCGTCCTGGACCATTATCAAGTCCACAATCGACTTGATAATGGTCCAGGACAGACCGCGATGTTATTGTCTCTTCATTATCTGGTGTGTGGCTTGGTCATCATATCTTCAGTCACATTATTGTCATTATTGTGACTCATCATCTACACAGTATACCATAGAGTAGGTTAAGCACCAGTGAACACTAATGCTTTCACTATTAAGCAATTTGGGCTAATAAAACAAAAATGTTACTGTACTGTAGTTCCCTATGATAACCGAGTTTTTAAAGTGCCTGACAAAAGTTTACAAATCCTACAATGCTCAATTAGGGCCCTTTGCACTTCAAAACTAACACCTAGACTCAGAATGTGCTGCCATTTGTCAGCTGCAAAATTTATTATTATCCAAAGTGTTATTGTAACAAAGCAATTTAAAAAATGATCAGGAATGTCTTCCTTGCATCCATCATGCCTATTTCAAGATGTTTTTACTAATTAATTAACCCTTTTGCTGTGATACTAAATTTTCAGTTTTCACCAATTGCCATATTATGGATAATTTTGTCTGCATTATTAAAGAAAATACTTGCTCTTTTCATTCATACAATAAAAAACCTCCTAAGTCACTATTTAATATAGAATGCATAATAAATAAAACCTGATACTAGGTCATAAGAGTTTCCAACAAATGTAATATCAAACACAGTAAAGCCAATAAGCATATTCAAAGGAAGTTTATGTATTTTAACTGCAAAATACAACCACGGAAAAACAAATTCCATTTTTCCAAATACCGATTTGTGCTCTCATTTTTGCTAAACTTCTAATAAGAAAACATAAGAATTGAGAAAATTTCAGTTCCTATTTATATTCAATTAAACTCACTCACATAGATGTCTAACCTACACTTGAAACAATCCATCAATTTCCACATCTTATTATGTAACCTATGAATAAATAACCCAATCCACACATCTGAAAGGAAATGAAAGTGACAACATTTTGGTCCAGCCTGGACTCTTTGTAAAGTCACGACAAAGCAAGTGGCAGTGTGTGTGTCCATATAAGGCAAGAGCGAGGGAAAAGTGGAGAAGTAATGCATGAAAACCTAACATATGAATAAAGGAAACTGCAGAAGTCCTAATGGCATCCAAACAAAATAAGCAGGAAACAGTAAAAACACTAAAAGGAAAAGGGTGAAATACAAAAGAGAAACAAAATAGGTATGCAAAGAGACCTGAACAGAAGAGGCAGGAGGAGAGCACAGAGAGGCAAATAGCCAAGTCAGATCGTGCTCGAGTCCAGTGTACAGATTAGCGTATTTAAGTATGCATTGAGAAAGACAAGAGTCAATAGCAACAAAGCCAGGACTTGGGTTTATGTTGGGAATGTTGTGATTGAGAGAAAATTCAACAAGACAGTGTTGATGAAGAGTAGAAGCAGGAAAGATTATTTTGAAAACCACAGAACTACAGAATGATTCGAGTCCTTACCATGACACAAGAGAGCATTGTCTGTGTCTGCAACTTTAACGCTTTTGTGTTCTGCAAGTCTATCACTAAGAGTATCGACAGTTTCCCCAAAGTATTGGAGAGGACAAGGGGAACAGGAAATTCAAATACAGTACAGTACTTTATGTTACCTGCTATTTTGATTCATAAAATATCAACCCTATTTCAAACCATACTGTATATTTAGCCCGGTCTTTTCTGGATCTAAACTTAACCAATTGTAGTCACTGTTTTGCGTTGATATAATAAACATCTTACTAATATCCTCCTTAAGGTGCAGATCTGTAACTTCTGTGTCTAG